ACATGGCTGTTTCTGAAATATATTTCCAAATATTTGTTTTCTTGGCTCTCTAAGTTAAAAAGTTTGCCGACCACTGTCATCGACCATAGACAGCTTATCCTTGCGGTTGATTGCCTATTTATGCGTGTGAAATATTGTGCCAAGGCGTCTGCGCGTTTCACCAACATACCTTGCATCACAATCTTGGCATGATATGCTGTAGACCATACCTGATTGTTCTGTCAATGGTAGCGGGTCTTTTGGCCGCATGGTTTGCTGTCTGATGGTTGACTCCGGCCTATGAGCCACAGCGATCCCGAATGGTTCAAGGATTCTAGCAGCTGCCTCTGATGCATTCTTCACACAAGCGGTTGCAATCCACAGCTTGGGGTCCTCTCCCATCGACCGCTCAAGGTGGGGCCTCTTAAGGCACTTGCGTACAAAGGACTTAGGGTAATCGTTGGCCTGAAATAGGGCATGCAGGTACTTAATCTCCGCATTTTTCCCACTGTCGTCGCTGCAGTGTTTCTGAACGCGTTGAAAAAGAGTTCTAACATAACTGCGTTTGTGAAAAACGAAGTGGTTGCTTCTGAAGTGGAGGATACGCATGGAATCGGTTGCCTTGCGGTAGACCGTTGTCCTTATCTTTCAGTCTTCCAGCTTCGTTAATTGTACTTCAAGAAAGGATAATTGGTTGTTGACCTCCTCTTGCATGATGAACTGGATGTCAGGAAAGATGGATTTCAGCAGTGCCCTGAAAGCCCGTAATTTGCGCCTTTTGATGATAACGAAGATGTTGTCGACATATGTGGTTCAGAACTTCATGGAGACGAGCTGAAGACCAGCAACTCGAGCCTGTGCAAAACAGCTCCGGCAATAAGGCCAGACAGGGGCGAGCGCATTGGTGTCCCCATCAACCAGAACGCTGAATTACGACAGCCGAAAAGTGAGCAGAGGTCACACGAGTTCACCATAGATCAAACTCACGGTCGTTCAAAAGAGAACAGGCAGGTCAAAGGTCGTGCGTCGAGCGCAGATATAATAACAGGCACGCGGCAAGACTGCAACAGTCCCGGCGAACAGTAAAAACCACCCAATTAATCTGACGATGGAACTGAGAGATTATCCAAAACGTCAGTCTCAAAATAAAACGGTCCGTGTCCTCGTAAAATCTTCCTTCTCTTCTTTGGGGGATGGTGAAAACGATATGATATCTGGACCTCGAATCTTCACGCATAGATGCGTTAAGTTTTAAAAATGCGTGGCAAGACTGTTTTTTGAGATCCTATTTCCCTTTCACTCATAACAGTTACCTACTTTTACGTTTCCAGTAACCTGACTTTCCATTTTTTCGTTAAATCCCACTTATATAATGTCAGATTTCCATTTATTCGTTAAATTCCGCCAATATAAGTTTGAATTTCTCTCAATAGTTATCGGTAGCCTGAGCAATAAGGGTTTATGCTGATGAATCTGATTCTATTTAATATACTAAAACAAATATAAGCTTCTTTAATTTAATATTTTTTGATCATTTCCAAAAGAAGTAAATATTCGTTTACACTCGTTAACCAAGAATTAAATGTTTAACCACCAATTACGTTAGGCAATTGGGCGGGAGAATGGATGTTTAGGTGGCCTTGCAAGGCAGCCTTTTCAAACGCGATTCCCAGGTAGTATGTCAAAAGAAGAAGGAGCATTCATCGGCAGAAACGTAATGTACGTCTGGCGCTTCGAGTAGTGTTTTCTTCTATCAGTTTTTAGAGATTGGAAAGCCGAGTTTTTAGCCCTCATTATAAAATTGATAAAAAATTTTCTCTAAAACTACACAAACATCGATTGTTTTTTGTTATTATTTGTCAGTAGTATATATTTTAGCGTGTTTTAGCAAAATTTGTCGCTAACCTACAGGGTGCCCCACGAAAAAACCCCAAATTTATGATAATGTTTATACTGT